ATAACAATATTAAAGATGGCAAAATAAAAATTCTTGCGACTGTTGTCCACTTTTAAAGTGAGAGCAGTGGAGCTACGAATAATATCTAAAACTGAAGCCAACTGGACGCATAGATGCTAGAGTTGTGCAGACACAGCAAGAGGAAATGAGCTCATCATAATGATTGGCATGGGGAACAACCAATGGATGAGGTGATCCCACCTGGCGAATTACTAGTAAGTCCACCCCGTGAAGGTTATCAGCTTCCAAAGATATTTTAGCAGAATAAGATCTGATAATGAGTCGATACAGTGATTTATGCCTTTTCTGAACATGTCTGAAGTTTTAGTTCAATCTAAATAAAGTTAATCCTTTTGTTCTAACTGAATTACACAAAAATAAAAAGAAATGACTTCTTAAACCATGCTATTTTTACTTTGATGGAGAAAATACTGAATTGAACAGAACCAAACCCACTTGCACTGCCCAGCGCCCAGCCTCCTCCATGGAAATAGATCACGCCTCTTCTCAGCTTCTTTTCCCCTTTCGGCTGAAACACCCGGGTGGGGACGCCTCCCAGTGTGGAGTCAGTCACGTTCACAGCGGAGCAGGAGCGAGCCTCTATCACCTCCACCCAGGACACCACCCGGTTCAGCAGGTGAACACGGTGGCACACACCCAGGGTGTGGGCTGCATCACTCTGAAATGCACAAACAAGCCACGTTCATCCACTTTAAGCCCCAAAAGGGTTCTCCTGAAGTTTGTGCACAAAATAAGAACCAGAATAAAAGGTTTCCCTGCATCTTCAACCTATCTAAACAAGCTTGATATCAAAATAAAACAAACACTTAAGAGATGCTATCAGGGTTACAACAGAGTTGATGTTGGAACTGAGAAAAATAGGAGGATTTTTTTTCTCCTCGCATGAGATTTTATTTGCATTATTCAATAAATTAAAATGTAGACATATTATAATAATGGCTAAAAACTTCTGGAAACCTGAGATCCAGGAGTGACATCACCCATGCAAAGCTTCATGCAGCTGAGGGAAATTTAAGGAAAGTTACAGAGGTTTTAGTAACGACATATTGGAATGCTGGTGAATATTCTCAGTCATCCAGGTCATAGTCATTCCAGAAAAGTAAAAAAAAAAAAAAACACTGGAATTTGTTTCCAAGTTTAAAGACATTTTGCTTCCCATCCAGAAGGTTTTTTCAATTAAAAATGTCAGAATTAGTGTTAAGTTCAAGACCAAAAACAAAGCCTTGTTTTGGCTTAGAAAACATGCAAATTGAACCGAATGAACGGGTCCTCCCCTTAGGAATGGGGGTCTTTGGGTTCTTTGTTAGCCTGCAATACCAAATGGAGTGGTTTTTTCTGAGGAGGCCGCTCTTCTGTGTTGGGCGATGAAGAGTGACCTCCTCGGGACAAGACTCTGTGGTGCATCTACACCTTATGGACAACGAACATTCTTTTGAGGACCAGAATGTTCACATTTTGGACAAAGAGGATAGGAGGTTTGAGAGGGGCGTGAAGGAAGCCATCGATGTAAGAAAGAAAAACCAACCTTGAACAGAGGGGGTGACCCAGATTTAGGCTTTCAAAAACCTACAATGTAGCAATTGAGTTGATTCCTTTTTACTATCATCGCACCCCATCCTCCCCTTACAAGGGAAATGAACAGCTCGCCTGTTCAGCGAGGCCAAAAATTCCCGCTAACGACCCCCATTTCAGAAACATAAACAGGTATTGGGTATTGCAGGCTAACAAAGAACCCAAACGACCCCCATTCCTAAGGGGCGGACCCGTTCGTCCGGTTCAATTTGCATGTTTTCTAAGCCAAAACAAGGCTTTGCTTTTGTTCTATTCTATAAAGCAGAGGTCATGGATTAGCAGACCGTGGTCCGGATCCGGACCCAACCTGATTTAAAACATTAATTACTGCATGTCTAATTTCACTTGCGCCACTTCTCCTGTTAATACGGTAAAGCCTCCAGAGCGTCCAGCACCAGGCTGCAGGTGATCCAAATGATCCAATGAGCTGCTGTCAGTCTGGGTTGCTGCTGCTGCTACTTTTAGACACAGCAGGCAAACCTGTGGCAAGCCGGGCGATGGGAAAGAAGGAGAAGATGATGAGTGAAATGGATAAGAAGAAAGACTTGGAGGAACAACAGAGATGTAAGAGAG